CATATATACATATATATACATACATACACATACACACATACATACATATATATATACATACATATATATATATATATATATATATATATATATATATATATATATATATATATATATATATATATATGTAGTAATCATTTCAATATTCTTATCCTCCCGCACCCATGAAAATTATCTAAAATTCTACGGGATTTACGCTCCACTTTTAACTTCCTCCTCCCACTCTTCCTACATAAGCTAGAGCAACACATGAACCAAATTCCTCTTTGAAATACACTTGTGATACAGGAGATATCCTACCTTCCCTCCTTCCGCCTTTCCTCCTTTTTTCCTCCTTCCTTCCTTCGTAATCACACAATTGCACAGCAGTTGCACAACTTGCAGCTCAGTCGTTTCGCGGAAGTTTCGCGGTGCACGCTGGCGACCATCATTAAGCCTTTCAGTTCCTCATTAGGCGTGTGTGGCGAGCCGCTGGTCCTGCTTTTCTAAGGCGACAAGGCTTTTGGCTCCTGAGGGCCGCCCGCCTCTCGAATCCACATCACTCATCAGCTGTTTTGGGCGCTGTCCTTCGGGTCTGTATTTCTTGGGCTTTTTTTGTTTTGGTTTCTTTTCTTTTTTCTTAATGGTGTTTCGTAGAGCGACGTAAAAGAAAAACGGATTTGTCAAGGGAGTTAACGCACAGATGTTTACTTCTAAAGGATGAAAATAATTAAAACGAGAAGGAAAAAGGGAGATAAAGTTGTTTATATATTTTTTTCTGTGTGCCGAAGGGAAATTGTTCCTCTATTTCTTTTCGTGTATCATTTCCTCACTCATTCAATTATCAAGAAAGAAAATACTAATATTCATGGTAATTGAGAAAAAAGGGAGAAAATCGTTCCCTGGCAATTTTTTGGCCGCCCTCAGATGCCTTCTGAGGCTCCAGAAGCTTTGGTTTTTTAAGACCGAAACTCTTGGTCGACTTCGAGGGCGGGAAAGAGAGCAAAAGAACGGTATGAACAGCAACAGTGGCAACGACGCCAGGTGGTGTCAGGTGGTTTTCCCCGAACGAGGTAGTCAGTCACATGGCGTCCGGGGCGTCGTGTGTGGGAGCAGCGCGGAGCCGGGAGCCACACCTCCTGCACCTCCGGGGTCGCGGGCAACACTGACTCGGCGCTCGCTTGGCGGGATGATCGCCTCTTCGTCGCTGCCGCCGCTACGCCACGCCGCGCCGCGCCGCCACACGAAGACTGGAACCGCGGTTCTGGCCTCTTTGGCGGTACTGCCACCCCGCTACTGTTTCCCTTGCCGCTACTCTTTGCTGCCGTCGCGACTGCCGCCGCCTTCCCTTGCCGCCACACTTTGCCGCCGATGAGGACTGTACCGCTATCCAACACCAACACGCTTCTCTTACCGCTACACTTTTTCCCTTACCGATTTCTTTTAACGCTACTCTATTAATCTACTGATTCCCCTGTTCCTGCCACCCTCTGCCGCTATCGATACCACCGTTACCGCTACCCATTGCCGATACCCCTCGCCGCCACCGTGACCGCCACACCGATCATTGATATGTGTTTCCTCCACTGTCTCCCTATCCCGATACCGCCACCTCCGCTACCGGTAATTCTTACGTCCTTTCTCCTTAAACCGCTACAACATTGACCGTTTAATCACCTTTGACCATCAGCTCCATTAACCCCATTAACTCTACTTCTCCATCATCATTACAACCATATTACTACTCATTATCATCATTAAAACCATACTACTATTCATTATCATCATTAAAATCATATTGATATTCAGTATCACCATTGAAACCATATACTACTCTTTATCATCATTAAAATCATATTACTATACATTATCATCCTTACACCATAACTAGCACACAAGGCTATTGTCAATTACGCTTCTCCATTACCATTCCCATCCTCCTACATGACCTTCTAATTGTCATCATCCATATCTCCTTGAACCCACCCCTTCCTCTCTACCTCAGTTACTACAATTTCCAAGAAAATTGTTATTTCCCTATTTTCAACAAAGCTATTACCAATTTCAGCCTGCAGTCTTCATTTCCGTTTCATCTATAAACATCCCCAACCAAATCAATATTGTTTTCAAGCATACACCCTCCATTGCAATATTGCTAACCCCGTTTCTCTCTCAAGTATGTCCATTTCCAATTAAGTAATCCCCAATTACATCCTGCATCTCCACCTGTTATCCTGCTGGCACTGTTTACACTCCTAGGCACATTTCCATCTCAGTTTTTTCTTTTGCTAGATATATTACCACCATTTCCATTCTGCAGTTCCTATTCGCCACCCAGCTACGAGTACCACCATCTTAACTATCACCTTTTCTATGCAAATTACCACCATTTCCAACCTAACTGCCCGTACTGCCAACCAGACTACTACCATTTCCAACAAAACTATCACCATTCTTACCCAAACTGCCGCCATTTCCAACCAAACTGCCAGCATTATCATCCTGCTCCCTGTTTCCCGCACAGTGAAAAGCGGCAGATATGGTTTAATTAAAGCAGTCCAAAATAATTCGGACACAGATGAGGTGAAGGATAAGGAAAAGGATAGATAGACTACGGGACTCTATGACAAGGGAGGGAAACTTAACGATTCTGACTTCGAATATGGATAAAGTAATTTTAGAGGAAGGCAGGGAAGGAGCAGATTTCGCGCGCGCGCGCGCGTGTGTGTGTGTGCGTGAAAGAGATGGAAGCACTTGAAGTTATGGAAACAAGGAAAACAAAAAGAGTAGATGGAGTTTTGATTTCCACGGTAAATAGAAATACAAGCAAAAAAGAAAAAGAAGAAAAGAAAAATAAACAAGGGGGTTCTCTGTTAAGAAGTGTATTGTGAAGTCTTATGACCAAAGGAATTTACATAACCGTTGAAAGTGATAATCCAAAAGCTGGGGAAATACCTTGAAAACAGGAATATTGCAGAACAGTTGGACTAATAGTACATGTAGACCAAGGGCATTTAGAGAATCTATAAATGGAGAGCGCATCCAAAAGCATTGAGTGATGTTGGACTCATGAAGTAAGTTGACGAGAGAAGAGAAAGAAGACTCGAAAAAAGAAATCGAAGACAAGGGTAAATTCATCTTGCTATTGTCATTTTTTATGCCTGGTATCAACATTTCCAACGTCCCATCTTCATTCCCACCTTATGACTCCCTATTCCTAATACACGTGCCACCATTTGCAACCAAATTATCCCATTTTCCGTCCTGTTACCCTAATATTATCCTATACCCACCAACCTTTCCTTCTTAATATCCTCGTCATTATTATCTCCATTCCAACTACCACTGTTTCCATCCTGGTACCCCGAGTTTCAAATCATGCACCACAGCTGCCGCCCTGCAGTGCTCTCCCATGTACCATTTTGGACCACTGATTCTCGACTGCCACCATCACCACCTCAACTGACATCAGTTAATCCCTACCAGCATTATTTATAAGATACCACGATTACCAACCAAACTATCTCCATGGCCAACCAAATTACCAAACTTTAAACAAAAATACTTCGATTACCATTCCCACCCAAACTACCACCATTCCCACCCAAACTACCACCAAACTACCACCATTCCCACCCAACTACCACCATTCCCACCCAAATACCACCATTCCCTCCCAAACTACCACCACACCAAACTACCACCATTCCCACCCACGACCACCATTACCACCATTCCCTCACAAACTACCACCATTCCCTCACAAACTACCACCATTCCCACCCAAACTACCACCATTCCCTCACAAACTACCACCATTCCCACCCAAACTACCACCATTCCCTCACAACACCATTCCCTCACAAACTACACCATTCCTACTTACCACCATTCCCTCACAAAACTACCACCATTCCCTCACAAACTACCACCATTCCACCCAAAACTACCACCATTCCCACCAAACTACCACCATTCCGCCCCTCCACCAAACTAAACGACCACCATTCCCACCCAGACAACCACCATTCCTCACAAACTGCCACCATTCCCCTCACAAAACTACCACCATTCCCTCCCAAACTACCACCATTCCCACCCAAACAACCACCATTCCCACCCAAAACTACACCATTCCTCACCTCAACAAATACACCATTCCCTCACAAACTACCACCATTCCACCCAAACTACCACCACCAAACTACCACCATTTCCCCTAAAACCACCATTCCCACCCAGACTACCACCATTCCCTCGCAAACCCAAACTACCACCATTCACCCACCAAACTACCACCTTCCCACCCAAAAACTACCACCATTCCCACCCCAAACTACCACCATTCCCTCACAAACTCACAAACCACCACCCTACACCAACAAATACCACCATTTACCACCATTCCCACCTAAAACCACCATTCACCATTCCCTCACAAACCAATCCAAACTCCACCATTCCAAACTACCACCATTCCCACCCAAACTACCACCATTCCCACCCGCCCACCCAGACAACCACCATTCCCTCACAAACTACCACCATTCCCTCACAAACTACCACCATTCCCTCACAAACTACCACCATTCCCTCACAAACTACCACCATTCCACCCAACTACCACCATTCCCACCCAAACTACCAACCATTCCCTCACAAACTACCACCATTCCCACCCAAACTACCACCATTCCCCACAACCACCATTTCCCTCTACCACCATTCCCACCCAACCACCATTCCCTCACCAACCCCATTCCCACCCAACTACACCATTCCCTCCCAAACCACCATTCCCACCCAAACTACCACCATTCCCACCCAAACTACCACCATTCCCACCCAAACAACCACCATTCCCTCCCAAACTGCCACCATTCCCACCCAAACTACCACCATTCCCACCCAAACTACCACCATTCCCCCCAGACATTCACCAACTCCACATTCCCTCCCAAAACTGCCAACCATTTCTACCCACCCCAACGCACCACCATTCCCATCCAAACTAAACCACCATTCCCTCACCAAAACTACACCATTCCCTCCAACTGCCACCATAACGCCACTCCGCCAAACTACCACATTTACCCACCTTACAAACTACAAACCATTCCCTATATGTGTTTGTTACCGCCAAGTACTACCGTGACGCCTGATTTCCCGGATGTGTAGGTGTGTGTTGGTGTGGTGTGTGGTGTGTGTGGTGTGTGTGTGTGTTGTGTGTGTGTAGTTGTTTGTGTCTGTAGTGTGTGTGTATCGCAAACTCGTTTATGCCTACCATTCATCCAAACCAAACTACCACCATTATACGTTCCTCTACCTCAAAACTCTGAACCACTGCAATTCACCAACCCAGACAACCACCAATTTATACCGCTCACAACAACCTACCCTAATACCCAATTTCTCCCAATATCTACTAAAACTATATCGCTACCTATTATTCCCAATAGACTCCAAAACTACCACCATATTCCTCACAAACCCTCACCACCATTAACCCCTCACAAACTAACCACACCATTCCCTACAAACAACAACCAAATATCCCACCCAAACTAACAACCATTACACCGCCCAAACTACCAACCAATTCCCTCACACAACTACCACGCATTACTCCTCACAAAAACTACCACGCATCCCACATCACAAACTACCACCATCATACCCCACAAACATACCAACCTATTCCCACAAACAGACTACAACCATTCCTACCCAAACTACCACGACCATATACCCACCCAAAACTTACCACCATTCCCATCACAAACTACCACCATATCCCCACCCAAAACTACCACGCAATATCCCACCAAACTAACACACCATTAACCCTACCCCAAACTACCACCAATTCCCACCAACTACCACCATTACCCAACCAAACTATACCACCATTCCACTCACACTACCACCCATATCCCTCACAAAAGCTACCAAACCATTACCCTCACAAACTAACACACATTACCCCACAACCACTACCACCATTAACCCACACACAAACTGACCACCATTCCCATCCAAACTGCCACCAATATCCCACCAAACTACCAAACCAATTATAACCCACCCAAACTCCGAACCATTCTCCCTTCACAAATACCACCATTCCCACCCAAACTACCACGCATATTAACCTCACACCAACTACAACCATTCCCCACCTCAAAGCTACCCCCCAATCCCAGGCTGTCTGACCCTGGTGCACTGCTGATTTTGTCATATCTTCGCCTAGCAAGTACGGCGTCAGCTCGATGGTTCACGCCTGCGAAGAATGGATCTCAGTAAGAGGTGTCACGTTGCCCACCATCTTTTTGCTTTTAGCTGTGCTCCTTCTCTCCAGCATAAAGTAGAAGAAAGAGTTTGAGAAGAGAAAGAAGAGATAAGTTGTTGCGAAGAAACCGGGAGGAGACCGGAGCAAGGTGGGCGAGACGCCAAGGAACGCTCGCGAATGAAGGACAGCGAGGAAAAGAAAAAAAATGAAGAAATGGAGTTTTTGAGAGAAAAGGAAGAAGGAAGAACTGACTAAGAGAAGGGAGGAATAAAGGAAAGGATTTTGAAGGAGGAGGAGAAGGAAGAGGAAGTGGATGAGGGAAGGAGGAAAGAAGGAAAGATTTGAAAGAAAAAAATGAAGAATGGAGTTTTGAGAGGAAGGAAGAAGGAAGAACTGACTAAGAGAAGGGAGGAATAAGGAAAGATTTGAAGGAGAAAATGAAATTTTGGAAGAAAGGGAGGAGGAGAAGGAAGAGGAAGAGGATGATGGAGGAGTGAAAGAAAAAAAAGAAGAATAAGAAAATGGAAGTTTTGGGAGAAAGGGAGGAGAAGAAAGAGAAGGGAGGAATAAGGAAAGATTTGAAGGAGAAGAATGAAATTTGGGAGAAAAGAAGGAGAAGGAAGAGGAATTGGATGAGGGAAGGAGGAAAGAAGAAAATATTTGGAGAAAAATGGAGTTTTGGGAGAAAGGGAGGAGAAGGAAGAACTGGATAAAGGAAAGGGGGGAAGAAGGAAAGATATGAAGGAGAAGAATGAAGTTTTGGAAGAAAGGGAGGAGGAGAAGAAAGGGGAAGTGGATGAGGGAAGGAGGAAAGAAAGAATGAAGAACGGAGTTTTGGGAGAAAAGAAGAAGGAGGAGAAGGAAGAGGAAGAGGATGAGGGAAGGAGGAAAAAAGGAAAGATTTGAAGAGGAATGGAGTTTGGGGAGAAAGGAAGAAGGAAGAACTGTATAAGAGAAGGGAGGAATAAGGAAAAAATTGAAGGAGAACGGAGTGTGGGTAAAAAAAGAAGAAGGAAGAGGAATGGGGGAAGGGAAAAAGAAGGAGAAGAATGGAGTTTTGGAAGAAATGGAGGAGGAGGAGGAATTGGATGAGGGAAGGAGGAAAGAAGAAGGGGGAAGTTTTAGAAGAAAAGGAGAAGAAAGAGGAATTCGATGACAAAATGAGGAAAGAAGAGGAATTGGGGTGAGAGAATGGAGGGAAAAAATGTGAGGAAAGGCCGCACTCAGTAAATTGTACGGGAGTCGGAGGCCATGAGAAGTCAAGAAGGGAGAGAAGACCTCGCATATAAAATGAGAGTAAGGAGACTTAGGAAAAAACGGGAAGAGAATAGGGAAGACGAGGAATGAAGATAATTTGAAATAGAGAGAATTTGATACGAAGAAAGAAAAGTTGGGGAAGGGAAATGGTAGGTAGAATGCTTAATGTATGAAATTGCAATGAAGAATACGGTGAAAAGAAAGAACGAGAAAAGAAGGATGAAGAATTTAGAGTAAAAGGAATAGGATGAGAATGCTAAATGGGGGAAGGAAGAGCAGAAAGAGGAAAAGGAAGAATTGGATAAGAAGTGGAAAGAAATAGAAGAATATTGAAGAAGAAATGGTAGTTTGTGGAAAAGGAAGCAAATTCAAGAAGGCAGAATAGAAGAAGAGTCTAAAGAATGAAAATGGGGGTGCAAGGGAGAGGAAAGAAATGGGATAGGTAGTGAGAGAGGCAAAGTAGAAGAAGAGGAAGAGTAAGGTGAAGATTAGATTAAATGAGGATACGCGAGGAAATGATGATGGAGAGAAAGATAACGTAGAGAGAGAATTGTGTGCTGAAGGATAGAGAGTAGGAAAAGATTATGAATAGACCACGTAAGTAATGATAGAAGGTAGATTAATATTGCCGGTGAGAGAGGAGGGTAATGTGAGATATGATAGAGAGATAGCAATTGGGACGAGGGAGCGAGTAAAGAAAGTAAAGAAGAGAACCAGGATGAGAGACAGAGAGAACCACTGTAGAAAGAAGTAAGAGAAATATGGATAATAAGGAAACATAAGCATGCCATAAAATGATCTAAAAGAAGAATAACAGATAAGGAGCACGCACATCGCCAGAGTTACGTGTAATGAAAAGAGTAAAGATAAAAGCACCATGAGAGATTGATGAAAGTGATAATAAAAGGTTGGAATAGAAGGAGAGAAGAAGAGGGTCGAGGAAAGGAGAAGATTTAACTTTCAGCAGAAAGAGAGGAGGAGAGAAGCAAGTGAAGGAGAAGGAGATATAATAAAGAAGAAAGCAAGAGAGGACAACAAATGGAAGAAAGGGAAAAGAGAAAAAAAAGAGAAAGAGAGCAGAAGAGGTATAACGACAAAAGAAAGGGAGAAAGAGAGATGAAAGAACAAAAGGAAGGGGAAAGATAAATAAAAGGAAGAAAGGAAAATTAATTAAATGCTGGGGGAAAGAGAAGAAGGCGAGGGATGGGAATGGAGAGAAAAGAAGAGGGAAGCAAGAAAAAAAGAAGCGCAAGGAGGAGAAAATTCAGGATAAGAGAAGGAGAAGAAAGAAAGAAAGAAGTGTGACAGGATAAAAGGATGAAGAAACGATATTTTTTTAGATAGACTAGAAAGAGAAAAGAAAGAGAAGAGACGAGAGAGAGAGAGAGAGAGAGAGAGAGAGAGAGAGCGAGAGAGAGAGAGAGGTAATGAGAGATGAGAGAGAGAGAGAGAGAGATTAGTATGTATGTGAGAGAAAGTAGAGAGATGAAATGAGAAGAGAGAGAGAGATGGGTAATTTTTTTTGATGGAGCAAACAATGTGATCAAGATTAAGTGTGAGAGAGAGCACAAGATGAGAAAGACGACGGAGAGTTGAAGTAGAATTTGAATTTGGCGCGAATAGAAGAAGAACAGACAAATTACAACTAGACTTAAGAAAAGGGAACGAATAGATATAGGCGTAATAGCTGTTTGGGTCGAGAGTATTCCGCTAGAGAACAAACGGCGGATTATCAATACGAGAAAATGGATTTGCATAAAAGAGTGGGGAGAAGGGATGAAAGGAAACAAGATAGATAGAGAGAACAAAAGGCGGGAGAAAGGACGAGAATGGTTATACCAAGGCGGAGGAGAGAGGAGATAAGCGCTGAAAGTGTGAGAAGAGGAAGAAAGGATGTAAAGGTGAGAGAAAAGAGGAAGAGAAAGAGAAACGCAGAGAAAAGGAGAGGTCAAGATGTTTTTGTGCACATAGAAATCGAGGAAGGACACGCTTGTTGTTTAATGTGTGGGAAATAGAGGAATAGACGCAAGAGGGAGAGTCCGAACCTGAAAACGCTCACGCACAGCAAAGAGAGACACAAAAATGACAAATAAGGAAAGAAAGCAGAAGAGACGGAAAAGGAAAAAGAGAGAAGAAAGCAGAGATGAAAGATTCATGATAGAGACAGAGAGGATAATATGACACAACGAGAGGAGATATGAGAATATAGAATGGCGCCCTAAGAGGCTAAAAGTTGAATTATCGGTAAAATATACACAAGTATAAGAAGCGGAGATGTATAGAGAGACGGGATGAGGACGCAAAAATATATACAATAATTCCAAACACAAAAGACTATCAACGCACCAAAGGAAGATAAACAATACGAAAAACAGAAAGAAAAGAGAAGAAAAAACAAGAAAATTACATATACGAAAACAGAACAACCAAAAAGCACAATAAAGAGGGAAATAGGAGAGACAGAAGGAAGGAAATGACCGCAAAAATGAGAGAGGTGTCAGAGACGTGCATGAGTTACTCTAGTCCGTTTATGAGTAAAGAAATATTTGTGAGGCTCAAAAGGAGGGGCAGAGAGCGAGGAAATCTGGGAGCTGGAAAGGAGAAACTTTTGTGTGTTTTTATACGTCTAAAATAGATGTATGTTTGTATAGATGTGTGTATAGTTGTGTATTTGAAATAGATGTTACAATCAATCAATTGTTTAATTGTTAAAGTGTCACGATATATTTACGATCAAATACATAAGAATACAATTCAATACATTAAATTGCGTGTATCCAGTCCATTAAGACTTACCCAGACACTATCTGATGAAAAATAAATCTAATACTGATATCAATAACAGTGGAGGGATAATGACTATAATAATGAAAATTATAACAGTGATGGTAACTGTTATCAAACTGTAGCTACCATTGTTGCTATTATCATTACTATTTTTTATTACTATTATTTGTATTGTTACTATTATAAATATTTTATTATTTTAATCATTTTATGATTATTATCAATATCATCATTATCATTACTACCATTACTGTTATTGTTGTTTGTACTAGTTCTAGTATCATTGCTGTTGTTGATCATCGTTATCATCATTATCGTTATCATTATTATGCTCATTGGTATTATTATCATTATTACTATCATCATTATCACTTCCATTTCTATTGCTATTATTGTCATTATTTCAATTATTACTATTACCATTATTGTTATTATCATTATTTTTTTACTATTATTATCAATATTGATATTATTATCATTATCGTTATTACTGTTATTATAAGTTTTATTATTATTGTCATCACCATCATCATCATTACTATTGATACCATTATCATTATTATTATAGCAATAGTAGTAATGATATGTTAAATATCATTACTTTTAACATTATCATCGTAATATCATCTTCAGCATTACTTTTATCACACTATCATCATCATTATCGCTGTCGTTATCTTTGCAGCTGTAGTCGTCGTTAACATTATTATTATTATTATTATTCACATTATTGTCCTTGTTATTATT